TTTTAATTGTCGCATTTATGTCCTTACTTTTTTGCGCTATGTTTTATTGTCAAACATCCTATTGATCAGCACATCTTATCCTTTTCTTTCTTCTATTTCCTTAGTTTTTATCTGTGTTAGCTCAATTTTTGGGTTAATTTCAACAAAATCTAGGATTTTTTTCTAACACGTAACATAGAACCTGAAGGACTAAAGGAATAGTGAAGTATAACGAAGAAAAATAAAAATTGAATAAAAGTTAGATATAAGCAAATCAAACTAAATAACAAACGGTTTCCAACAACCACATCAAAAACTCGTTACTATAAGTGTCTGCAAGAGTACGATGTCATATCATGGACAAGTAATAAAGTGTAAGTAAAGTATCCTTTCTACGAGGTTTGTGCATGTAAGGATCATGACAAAAAATTAAGTTGATTATAAGTTCGAATATCGTCTTACGGTGACTAAATATTTACAAACAATTTTTCTGTAATCTAACTTCAATCGAAATTAATGTGGTAATCAATTAACAATTCAAAAATTTATATTATAACTAATTTATACTAAACAAATTTAATCCACATTAAGAGATTTTCAAAAAACTTATGGTATTAAGTGGTTAGAAATTTCGAATTCATCTAGGTCAATTAACATTCATTCAATCCAACATAATTCAACCCTTTTTCATGTGTATTAATAATCGAATAAATCAATTTTAGCTAGTAATCTCTCTCGAACAAAACTAACCCATTTCACATGTCCTAATTTATTATAACTCTATGTAAATTGATAAACATGTAAAAACATTAATTTAGAGGAATTTAATCAAGATGGCATTGTTTGTAAGATTATCTCTCGATCTCTTATTAAAACTTATGTCACTTATGCACGAGCTAGACAAATATATCTCATATTGATGTCAATATTGTCTCTAAATCAAGTAATTGAATATCAATTAAACAAGCAATGTGTGATTACACATAATCAAAGTTGCATTAAATCTTTTGAATTAAATAAACACTAAGCTAAGCTATATTTTTCATCCTAACAACCAATTATTTAGTCGCTCATAATTATGGAATTAAACAATACAATGATTAAAAATATTATCAGATCAATACAATAAAGGAAGAAAATTGTTATTCTTCTACACCCAATTCTCAACAATGAATTTTTAAACTCTTCTTGGATTATATCTCCAGACCAATTGATGCATATCAACCTTCATATCCTAATTTAGCGTCACAATTCTTGATAGTTTATAAATGAATCTATATAATGTGCCTAAAAAATGTGCCTCACACTTTTTTGAATGTTAGGTTTAAAATAGAGTATAAATATAATAGAGAACCATAATTTTTGTCAAACTAGGATATTCCAAATTGTTGGACATTGTACTTTCACTTGTGCAATTTGATCCTTATTTTCTCTTTATGTTTAGATTGAGCCCTTAAATATTACAATAGAGGTCCTTTAGCTTTTAAACCTAACTCATTCATTTTCATACGTTTCCATCTAATACCAAGTTGTCTCCTAAAATAAAAAATAAACTAATAAAGTTAAGTATTTCATTCATAAAATTACTCCCTAATGTTATTTTTTTAATGATTATTTACACTTATCATTCAGGCACATTGGCAAGGATATAGTGGTGGGTTATTTAGCAAAATTGAGTTTAAGTTGATCTTTATTATGTCTGAAAAGTTTTTTCTCCTAATTATGATCTGATAGTACACATCGATCATAACTGAGACAAGAAATGACACGTGTACATGAGTACACTAATATTCCACCGGTCATGCTACGTGTCCAAGGCCACATGGCGGTGTCCATGTTCATCCAGGGCCAATGTGGCCCTGGCGCTGGACGTTTAGAATAATCCATATTCCACGTGGTAAAAATTCAAGTATTAAAAATATCTTTTTTTTTTTTTTCCATGAAAGAACAAAACAAGGTAACAACGGGGAGGGACTCAAAGATGGGCGTGACAGCTTTTGCCCAACAACCTACACTACTTTCTCTTTATCTCAATGTTACTTTTGCCCAACAACCTACACTACTTTATCTCAATGTAACATGATTGATTATCAATGGCATAACTAACCATCATTCCTATTCTATTCTAATTATCTACTTTTACCTTCTTTTTTCTCCTCTTTTGGCTCAAAATATATCATTATTTCCTTTTACAAAACCATACGAACTGCATATTTGTATTTGAACTGATATCTCGCTTTTTCTATGTAATTAATGTTGACAAGATAAATGTGTTAATAAACAATTCTAATCTATTTATGGCGCCAAATGTTTGAACTTTCGACCAAACAGCAAGATAATAATTGTATTATGATAACTTCAAGTATTTTATTAGAGATATGCTACATGTACATAATTTGGGTTACCTAAAGGTGTCCACCCTTAGCTAACCCAAATTATGTACAAGTAGTGTTTTCCATTTTATTATATTGGCATGTTGAAATATGAATAAAAATAAGCCTCCGTTTGATAGTAATTAAAATCAATTTTTTAGTAGATTTTGATAAAAGTTGATGAAATATGTAGTTGAAAAGTTGTAGGTCCAGTAAAATATTTGGTTAAAATTAATGATTGATTTTGAATTTGATTAAAATCTGAATTTTAATTTTCAAAAGAGGGGATTAGTATTAAACTTTAATGACAATCATTTAGATAATCTTTTCCTTTTTCATATTTACAATTATTTGCTTTTTAAATAAAGCTCCTCACAACAATCATTTGATGTAAGATGCATTATTAAATAATGGCATATAGGACTTTTATGAATTTTCTACTCAAAGCTAAATGGAATTTTTCTGTAATATATAAGTAAAAATATAAAAAGCATGTGGCTTAGTTCATGATTGAGCTTCTTTTTAATTATTTTTTAAAACTTGTTTTTAATTGCACATTCTTTCAATAAAATAATTTTAAATGTAACAAGAAAACAAAAAATTAACCCACATTTTGCATATGATATTGATGCTAGCAACAATATCAATTGTGCTTGAGTTACAAATAAAATGGCTAACTATAGTGAACCTTCTATTTTAGAAGTTGATACATTACAATATCCTTTTTTGGATTAATTAGTTAGGTGATTGATTAATTAGGTTTAAAGGTGTATAGTCTAAATATTGCAACATCATGATGAATTGATAATCCTCATATAGCTTTCCAGATTTGTGTAAACAAAATATTCAAACACACGGGCAACAAATAATTAGTGCATGTTTAGTAGGACGTATTATATGTAATTGGACAATATTAAAAACAGATATAAACGTTGTTATTCAATAAGAATTGGTCACGTGACCCACCAACTTTCAAAATTGAGTTTTCTTTTTTAAAGGAAAAAAATAAAAAATAAATTAAACACATTGGCAACCAACTTTATTTAACAATCTTGTAATATATTTCTTTTTATTTCTTCTTCTCTCAATTAATTATCCACATGCTATTATATTTGTTTTCACTAGGAATTAATCGAGAGATACATAATTTATAGCAGCTTTAAGCCTATGATTGGTAGGTATTAAAATCAAAATTTCAACATTTTTTTATAAAAGTTGATAATATGTGTGATTGAAAAGTTATGGATCTCATGAAATGTATTTTTTAAATTAATTATTGACTTTGATTTAGATTTTAATCAATTTTTTTAACGATACCAAACATGGGCTAAATATGATTCTGAATTGCCTACCAAGCCATGAGAATGACAAATTCAGAAAAAGATAATGGAGAATTTCAATTCATTAATGTGAAGAAACCACATTCGAGCATATGGTTGGCAAATTGATGACAACTTTTTTGCGAGTTTGTACGTGCTCCCTAATTCAAAATATCTGGGTCCATCACTGTATGAATATTATAGAAATTATTAATTAAAGATCTCATTAGATGCTCTACTCGAAAAAGTTTGGATTTCCTTTTTATTACATTTCATCAACTGCCTATAAATAATGGATTAAGCTATATGTACAATGTTGGATGACAACATTGTTGACAATGTTGCATAGTTACGACTAATTCCACCTCGACTTAAGCAAAAAAATTCACTTTCAAAATCATAATAAACAATGTCTTTTAAGCATTTTCTAATTAAAGCCATTCGAATCTTTTATGAAATTAATTCCTTCAGAATAAGTAAAAATCAAAAGCATCGTACTAACGTCTCCCTGTATATGAATCAACCATGTTTGAACTTGAACATATGATATTGGTATTAGTCACGACGATATCATTTACAACCATTGATATATATCATACTAAAATTGTTTTTAAAAGTCGATATTCCATCCATTTTCTGGATTTTGATTAATTGGGTGTATGAGGGTAAGAGCGTTACTATCGATAATATCCTCATTTGGTGCTAAATAAACACGTTTTTTTTTTCATAAACTAAAATAATAACTCAACCGATTTAGCACATTTATATCATATGGAATTAGACAATATTAAAAAGGAAAATTAAATTATAATGTTTTCATTTTTGTCAGTTCTGTTCTAACTTCTAAACACATCGTATGATCCATTAATTATTTAAATCTTTAATGTTATAGAAATGAAAGATGTCATTCAATGTCCTACTTAAAAAAAAAAAATAATAATAAAAATAGGATTCCCATTTATTGCATTGCATCAATTGCCTATAAATAAATAATTCCCGAACACAAAGTTCAACGCTCATTCACACCTTCATCGAAAATTCTCATCTATCATATCACTCACTAACACTAATTCGACTCTACTCAAAAAAAAATTCAACTTTCAAATTTGTCAGCAACCATGTCCATATCGAGTAACAAAATAGTCCAAAATAACCCTAAAGTTTTTCACAAAATTTAGTATTTTCCCTCCACGTACTTTATCTTCTTCAAATTTACACCCAAGTCCTACTCTGGTAGCAAATTATTTCTCCATTATTTGCTGACAAAAGAAAAAGAAAAGGCAAAGTTTAGAGAGAGAGAGTGAAATCCCAGTTTTTGAATTTGATGAAAATGAAATCTAGTGCAAAACTCATACTTTTACATCCTTCAATACACAAACAAAGCAATGGTGGATCAGTAATAGCTTCATCTCACCGGAGTTGGTGCCTATTTTTCTTGCTTTTTTTCATATTTGCTTTTGTTTTCATTTTCTTCACCACCAGGGAGGCCGCCGCCACTGCCAGAACCGCCGCCGCCACTTCCAAGGGTGCATTACCAAAACCCATCTTTGATACACTACTTCACTATGCTTCTATCAATCCAACAAACATCTCCGGTCGCATGTCATCCGCCGAGCTAAAAGCCATCGCCACCGTCCTCCGCCGCTGTGCCGTCCCATGTAACGTACTTGTTTTCGGTCTCAGCCACGAGACCCTCCTTTGGAACTCACTCAACCACAATGGGCGCACAGTTTTTGTCGATGAAAGCACTTACTTCGTCTCCGTTCTCGAAGAAAGACACCCAGGAATTGAAGCTTACGACGTTCAATTCGCTACCAAAGTCAGCGAATTATACAATTTGATAGAACATTACAAATTCCATGTGAAAAATGAATGCAGGCCAGTTCAGAATCTTCTCTTTTCAGACTGCAAACTGGCTGTAAACGACATGCCGAACCAGTTATACGACGTCCCATGGGACGTGATAGTGGTAGATGGGCCAAGTGGGCACTCCCCGTCGTCTCCGGGGAGGACGGCGGCGATATTCACTGCCGGAGTTTTGGCTAGGAGCAAAAGGGGCGGCGTAGAGAAAACACATGTGTTTGTGCATGAATTTGAACGAGAAGTGGAGAATGTGAGCAGTTTTGAATTTCTGTGCAGAGAAAATCTGGTGGATACCATAGACTTGTTGGCGCATTTTATGGTGGGAAAAATGAAGGCTACTGAGTTTCAGTTTTGCCCTAATTCTGAATCTTCTTCGTCTCCTCTTAAATCCATTGAAGACGATTGAAGAAAGTATTGATCTTGATTTGCTCCTTTTGTCCTTTCTTGATCTGAAACTGCTAAGCATGTTTAGCTAGCTAGTATTGGTTTAAAATTATGTTTCCAGAGTCGAATTAATTCGACTTATCAAATACTGCAAATCAAACACGCGAAGTGTAATATTTATACATTATCAAATGTCATATATTAATCTACAAGCATTATGCAATCAAATTTTACATTTTTCATTTATTTTTAGTTTGTAGTCGAAAATGATATTTGTTTTTCTTGTTCGTGGAATTTGAAGTTCAAATGCATATTTCGTACATAATATGGTATAAAATAAGTCATACAAAATATCGTTTTGCAGTGTTGTCAAATTTTATAGTTTATACGTGTTTAAGAAACGAAATAATACCATCAAATTAAATTCTTCATTTTTATTTGATTTGCTTTATGAAATATTTATTTCAACATGAAGAAATAAAATCAAATTATTAAGTGTTGTTGATTTCAAAGTTATCCAACTTTTAATAGGTTTTAATTTCAAAGTTATCCAAACTGCAAAGAAAGAAAGGGCTAAGCTACAAAACTTCCCAATAGAGTGTCGGTGATGCGCTGAAAAGAAATGCGAAATTGACGCTACATTTGGCTTTTACTTTCATATTTTCTCTCTGATTTCAATTAAAATTTGGAGCATGTTTTTCAAGCCTTGACTAGGGCTTGGCAAAAGAGAACTACTACATGTACAAAATTTTCGTACAATTTGTTGACAGAAGGGACGATGCTGCAGTACCAGAAAAAATGGACAGAAGCACTGACCGACCCTAACAATAGGGGATGGGGTCCACTTGTTTTTGCAATTTTTTATTCATGTGGGGCCAGAAGCATGTGAGAGGGTGTCAAAGCTTCGGTCAGCTTTTTTCTGGCACATCGGCATTTTCCTGACAGAAGTGACGTAGCAGTTTTTTGGCCCTTGATTTGAATTATGTCAATATATGTGTAATCCAATTTCTATACGAATAGCAAAATTGTTGACAAAATTTTCCAAACTGGGACGAATTAGATTAGTTCAAAATTGTCATATCCGATCTTAAAAAAGCAAAATTTACACTTCATTAATTATTGAATCGGAAACGTATTTGTTCGGTCAAGTTCTTAAAGGGGTCAACACATTTTCATACCTAAAGGAGCTCCAAAGGCTGGTTAGTTTTGTGCCACAATTCATTTTTAAAAGGGATCTTAAGTATTTGACTTGAAAAAATCGACATATTTTGACATTTCTAAATATATAACATCGAGAATATTGGACAATGGATCGTCCAATACTTGAAACCATGTGAGCTACGTAACAAATGGTTACACTGTAAAGAGAGGGATGTGTCGGTGACGGGGGGGCTTGAAATGAGTGGTCCATTACAATTGCACGGATGCACCAAACACAGGAGGTTCACAAATAATGTCGCAACCTATTTATAACGTTGGTTAAATGCCAAAACATATCTCTCTCTCTCTCTCTCTGCATGGAAGTTGGTCTCGTGCATTTTGAGTGAAGAGAGTCCCTACATCAATTAAATCTTGGGTTTCAATGGTTATACTTTTATACTTGTTGGTCTGCCTTAGTTTCAACGAATTAATTAAAAAATAATAATAATAAATTGATGCAATTATGAAACTGTTTGGAACTTGACTCGAAATGGCAAAAGTGAAAGGACTTCAAAAATAAGTAGACGATAGAAGTTACAATTATTAAAGACTTCTTTATGGTAGCACGCTGACGTGCCTTTCAAACTGGAGATGCTAAAGGGAAAGAAATTGGTACAATTCTCCTCGGTCCACGTATTAGATTGTCTATGATTGACGTTTCTTTATTTTTATAACTTGGGATGTTTTTCTCTTATTCAAGCAGAGCACGTGAAAGAGGTAGGAAAAATTCTAAAAGTTTGGCACAAAGAAATAATTTTTTCTGTGTTGTGTAGAGTAAAAATGGTGGATGTGGTAAAGTTTAGGGTATTTTTCTTACAATATTTGGAGTTTGTGTGAGTAAATTTTATATGATTATACAAACTTTTCATATAGTGAAAACTTTAACTGTCCATAAACATTTCGTCTAATTTTTATATTTTTTTTTTCTTGTCAACCATTTCCATGGGCAAAAAAAAGGAATTAATCTTATTTCCCATCAAGAACTTGGAAAAGTAAGGTTGATTTGAGGGTTTTCGTTGAGGCAACTGTAGAAAAGAAAAAATGTTTTTTAAAATCTCAGAACTGTACGATATCGACGTATAAAGTACAGAGTAGATTATCATACTCGAGGATGGAGAACTTATGTTTGATTTAATTAAAACTAACTTCACTCAAACACAATGATTTCATTTAATTTGATGGTTTGAACTAACTGAAATGAGTTAAGAAGCTGGAGGAAAGTTTGGATTGGCAAGATACCTTAGCCATATATTGCATATCATATTTATAACATTTACACGTAACTGATTATACGGAAAATAAGGAACTATCATAAAGAAAATATCCTAAAAGACTCCTGGAAGTATAAACCTATTATGCAGGAGATAAAACAGCAACATGACTCTTTGAAATGAAGATAAAGATAAAATCCTACTTATACTAACACTCCCCCGCAAAGTGAGAGAAAGGTCACAGACTCTCAGTTTGGACCATAGAAAATTAAACCGTGCAGCAGTCTATCCTTTAGTAAAAGCATCAGCAATTTGATCATTAGTGGATATATAACGAACTAAAATATCCTTTTTGACAACCTCTCGTATAAAATGGTAGTCAATTTCCACGTGCTTTGTACGGGCATGAAACACAGGGTTTGTAGCCAAGGATAATGCTCCACCATTATCACACCATAACATTGGAGCTTCTGGAAGAGAAACTTTTAGATCATGGAAAACCATTTGTAGCCAATATAATTCTGCAGTAGCTAGAGCCATTGAACGATATTCTGATTCTATGCTGGAACGAGAGACTACAGATTGTTTCTTAGCACTCCAAGAGATTAAATTGTTGCCAAGAAACGCACTATATCCACTAGTCGATTTACGATCATCGAGATTACCAGCCCAATCAGAATCACAATAAGCATGTAAACGAACAGGAGGGGGCTGATAAAATAGACCAAAATCAACACTGCCCTTTAAGTAGCGTAGTACACGCTTAGCTGCAGTCCAATGTGGTTGACGTGGAGTGTGCATAAATTGGCATAGTTGATTAACGGCATATGCAATATCAAGTCGTGTAATTGTACAATATTGTAGAGAGCCAACAACTTGTCTGTATTCAGTAGGATCAGCCAATGGATCACCATCAGCAACTGAAAGTTTGCTACCAGACACAATTGGTGAGGACAACGGCTTGGTACTAGCCATCTTTATTCTATCCAACAAATCTATAATGTACTTTGATTGTCTCAGATGTAGTCCTGTAGAATCTCGCATAGCTTGAACTCCTAAAAAGTAATGCAGCAGACCAAGATCTTTTAGACGAAATGATGTACCTAACCTTACAATCAGAGTAGAAATTGCAGAAGTTGAAGATCCAGTGACGATAATATCATCAACATAGACTAAAATATACAAGGTAGTGTCATTTGAATGATATGTAAACAATGAATAATCAACAGAAGACTCAACAAAGCCAAGCTCCAATAGTTGATGCGTTAAATGATTAAACCAAGCTCTCGAAGCTTGTTTTAGGCCATAATGACTTATGGAGTCTACAGACATAATCTGGATGTGTATCATCAACAAAGCCACGTGGTTCCTCCATAAAAACCTCTTCTTCCAAAACTCCATGTAAAAATGCATACAAAACATCTAGATGCCGAATTGGCCAGTTAAATGTTACAGCCAATGATAAAACAGTCCGAACAGTGGTTGGTTTGATCGTTGGACTAAGAGTTTCATGAAAATCTATTCTACTCCTCTGTTCAAACCCCTTAGCAACAAGTTTAGCTTTGAACCGATCTATTGAGCCAGCAGACTTAGTTTTTACCTTGTAAACCCACTTGTTTCGAACCACATGACGATCAGGTGGTCTTGGGCATAGTGATCAGGTTCCATTCAGCATTAAGGCTTCAAATTCTTGTACCATAGCAGCACGCCATTCAGGTTTCAAAGCAGCCTTAGTATAGTAAGTAGGTTCAGCTTCACGGAGTGTAGTAGAAAAAGCACAGAGAGGATGTCTAGAAGAATAGAAAAGCTTGAAATCTGAGAAATCTTTTGGCTTTCAGTGTTCTGTTTGTGATCGAGTAACAACATGATTAGTCATTGATGTATCTGCATGTAAAGAATCACAAGTAGGCAGTTCAGTTGGACTAAAATCTGATGGGATAATAGAATAAGGAAGAGAAGATATATCTGTGGAAATAGGTATAGTATGATCGGTTGGTAAAAAAAAAAAGAGAGTTGATATCTGAATGTAGTGATAAGGTGGTTGTCTTAATTAAAGGAGGGGAAAGTGTATCAGGCATGGGTGGATTGGACAAGGGCGAAGCAAGTATAGGAGAGGGCAGGGTAGAGGTAATGTTTATGTGAGAATCTAATCTTGTAGAAGAAAAATTAGAATTGCTATTAACAGGAATAGTTTGAATTGGAGTATGAATTGGTAGAAAATGAGTACCTTCTTCCATAGAATGACTGCTAACAGTTGTATCCTTAGCCGGAAAATATGTCTCATTAAAGATTACATGTCTGGAGATATAGACACGACCACTGGAAGGGTCAAGACATCGATAGTTCCTGCCATTCCCTGTGTAGCCTAAAAAAATGCACTGCTAATTTTTAAAATGCAATTTATGAGGATTGTATGGTTTTAAAAAAGGAAAGCAAGCACAACCAAAGATTTTCAAATCTGTATAATTGGGAGAGTGTCCAAACAACTTTAGGTAAGGTAAAGAATTCTGTAAAACTTTGGTTGGTATGCGATTTATCAAAAAAATTGCTGTCAAGAAGGCGTCTACCCAATATTTTGAATTGAGCCCCGATTCAGCAAGTAGAGTTAGTC